CAGACTGAGAGTTCCTGTCTATACCTTGGATTGGGAAACACCCCTTGTGGCTAATAGCCCCTGATAGACTTCTGCTCCATGGGTTTCTCCAGTCCCCTCTTGAAGCTGTCTTTGTTTGTAGCACTTCCTGTGGCAAAGAGTTCCACCTGTTAACGACTCTCTGAGTGAAGAAGGAGAAGAGAACAGAGGAGAGGAAAACGGTGTTGCCAGCTCCCCCCCGGCCACCGGGGGGGGAGATTTGGGGGTGGAGCTGTGTTAGTTTGAGCCCCGCGCTGGTGTGAGCAGCCAGCCTGTTGTCCACAGCTCATCGTCCAGCCTGTTGTCCCCAGCTCATCGTCCACCCAGCGATTTGAAAGCTTCGGCAAGTAGATAAAATGGGAACCACTCCTTAGAGAGGGTGGGCACACCAATCTCCTTTGTGGGAGGGTGTTAGCTGACGGTCGGGACATTCTGGTCGAGGTTGGAAAAGGTGAAAGAACTTCTCGGCTACAAAAATCCCTGCAGTGGATGTCTCCGGCCAGGCCCACGGTGGCAGTGTGGCGATGTGACATACGGGTCCTGAAGCCTGGTCGACAAGCAGCTGTTTGGAAAATGACTGAGCCAAGCCAGAAGACATTTACACCGTGTGCAATTAAAATGAATATATGTTGTCCTCCCTTATCCCCAATGAACATTGTTAGTCCCCTGTCTAATGTGTAACTGTACATTGCTTTGAACCCACTGGGGAAAGCGATTAATAATTTTTTTGTAAAAAAAGGTTGTGGATCCAGGCAGCTGGGAATGGGGATGACAGTCTGGAGACAAGCTGGAATTCCAGGGGCTCCCCAGGCCCCACCTGGAGGCTGGCATCCCTAGGCGTGAGCCATATTGGGTCCCTGCTGGGGAGAAAGCTAGGGTACAAAACAAAGTACAGAAAGCAATCATATATATAAAAAACGTGACTGCTGGGCGCTGCGTTCTGTTCCCAGAGCTCCTTATCACGGCTGGAGGGGAAAATGTGCCTCCGCTGCCTATCGAGGACGCCGTGAAGAAAGAGCTGCCCTTCCTGAGCAATGCTGTGCTGGTTGGTGACCGCAAGAAGTTCTTATCCATGTTGCTGACTTTAAAGGTACAGGCTGGGGTTCCAAGGCAGGATCCAACCATGAAGGCCGATCCTCTCTCGTTGGGGTATCAAGTGGAGGTCCCTCGCCTAGGCTAGGTCCTTTAAAATTTGAGATGCACCCTGACCTGGATGCAGGCCCGTAGCCGGGATTTTGTGGCTTGTGGGGCAATTTCCCCCCCTAGTGGGGCGGAAGTTCTCAGTGCAGAAAGAAGAGGAGGAGACTGAATTTATCCCCCGCCCTTCACAACCCAAAGGAGTCTCAGAGCGGCTCACAAACTCCTTTCCCTTCTCCTCCCCACAACAGACACCCGGTGAGGTCGGTGGGGCTGAGAGAGCTCTTGACAGAAATGGCTCTTTTTTCAAGCACAGCTCTTATCAGAACTATGGCTTGCCCAAGGTCATCCAGCCAGCCAGGTGCAAGCGGAGGAGTGGGGAATCAAACCCGGTTCTCCCAGATCAGAGTCCGCGCACTTAACCATGACACCGAACAGCCACTGAGCCAACAGAATGCAGTTACTAGGAGAGACTGCTAAATTGCAAGCTGTCAGCCACTTTAGATGACAGTTCTCAGCTGCTGCAAGTTAATCACTTCTGCCAGCCTAAGCAACAAACCATGAAAAACAAGCCGGCAGGGGAGGGTGATGACTTCTGTAGTCAAGAGAGCTAACGCTTAGGCAGAAAAACTCACTTGAAGGAGACCCGTTTGACACAGAGTTAGAAGGGATCCTAGAGGTTGTTGAAATATGTGTGTTGCAAGGTCTAAAATCCAGTCACTATAAGGTTAATCTGTTTACCTTGTGTGCTATCGTTTAGCCTGACCTGGAAGGAAACCTGGCACAGAGCCAATGGAGACAAAGCCCGGGAAACTGAAGTCTGTTTACTAGCATTCATTGGTTAATGTATTCAGGTGATTTCCTTCTAGGGGTCAAGAAGAAAGAAGAATCTCCCTTGTTGTAGACCGTGCGGTCAGTCTGTTCTGTAGCTGTAAACATGTCGTCTCTAGTGTTTGTTGTTTTGTAGATTTTTCAGTGTACCTTTCCCTTTAGAAAGAAAGATTTCACACAGAAAGAAAATGCCTACTCTCCAGTGAAGCAAAGATCCACTGCAAACTGAATATCTAAGTATTTTTGCCCATTTTTTCCAACAGAGGCCACCGACATCAACCCCCTTGCTCGGTGCGGGAATTAGTCAACTATGGCGCCCCACTCTGCTTAAAGGAACACACGACTCTTTAAAAAAATGTCTAAAAATGATTGGAAAAAGCATTTCCAGGAGAAACGCTTGAGGGGCAGTGCCTTTAAGAAAGGGGGCAGAGCTATGGGCCTTCCTGGATAGTCCAGGCTAGCCCGATCTCATCAGATCTCAGAGGCTAAGTAGGGCCGACCTTGGCAAGTACTTGGATGGGAGACCTCCAAAGAATACCAGGGCTGGGAGGCAGAGGCAGGAATAGGAGTCGCCAGATGTTACCCCATGACTTCCAAGTACAGGCATACACACAGAGAGAGAAACTGAGATGCCCGGGGTTGAATCTGGGATCTTCTGCACGCCTTGCAGCTGCTGCACCACTGAGCCACCATCCCTTTCGATGCTGGGATCTTTGTGCAATGAACCTGCCTTCATTTCACGTTTGTAACGCTACAAAAGCTCCCCCCGTTTGTTCCAGTGCGTCGTCGATCTGGATACGTCGGAACCCACCGACTGCCTGACCCAAGAAGCTCGTGATTTCTGCGAGAAGGTCGGCAGCAAGGCCACCAAGGCGTCCGAGATCGTGAGGGAGCGCGATCCGGCCGTGTACCGGGCCATCCGGGAAGGCATCGACCGCGTGAACGCACGTGCCGTCGCCAACGTCCAACGCGTTCAGAAATGGGCTGTCTTGGAAAAGGATTTTTCCATTGCCGGTGGAGAATTCGGTAAGCTCCCCGAGGGTGGGGCGACAGGCTTGGGTATGGTGTGACGAGAAAGCTGTCTGTCTTCTTCAGCTGAGGGTATAGACCAGGGACCTCTAACCTTTCTAAGCCGGAGGGAACCCTTGGAACTGTGAGATAGGGTGAGAGAGGGGAACAGCGACAACATGCCCGCCAGTTTGGCAGCCAGTTTGGTGTCGTGAACTCGTTTGGAGTAGTAGTTAAGAGCGTGGACTTTTAGAGACCGAGTGCCCAAACTGCGACCCAAAACCCACTTATTTATCGCAAAGTGCCAACACGCCCATTTAACCTGAATGCTGAGGTTTTACTT